ACAGCAATTCTCCCTTTCCTTGGTCTTTTCTGCTATTAGATGCCCAGTTCTTACTACCAAATTTCAATCTCACATCTATTCTTTCTGGCACCGCCCTTCATCTCCCTGATGCCACTATTTACTCACATTATATTTCTTTTAAAGTGTTATTCACTTAGGAAAAGGCACTTTATTTGGGATATAATGAGCAAAAGTATAATGTACTTTTTTGGCACTAACCGAATTTAAATGCATCGCCCGAGTCTGATTCCCGTTCCATAAACTGGAAACTGTCTTGAATTTCTGGGCTGTGATGTTTACTCGCACACATTCTACCTTTACTACATAGCAAGGACTACCTAGATTTTAGTGGCTATAGGAGGGAACTGAAAAGGCCTGGTAAGATTGACTGAACTCAATTATACTGAACACAGCAGTAGATTAAGTATAATAAACAGCTCTGCAAAAGCCCTTTAGATCTGACCTTTAGGGATCAGACTCAGAGTCAAGAAAATATTCCCTTTAGCACAGACTTCCCATCCTTTTGGGGTATTTCTAGCCAGATAGACACTTCCTCTTTCATGCACATAATTACACTATACTTTCTAGGGCTGGGCAATATCCACCAAGAGGCCTACAAAAATCCTTCCACACCTCCCCTTTGTGCTGCAACTGATATTTCTGACAATTGGCAGAGTTCTCTGCGTGCCCACACATTTACTTTCTTTATTTTAAAATAATTAATTTACAGAGAAGCTTATATCTCCTTTTTCTAGTACTGCAACATTTTGCCACAGTTTATTAACAGCAGTTGATTCACCACCTCACTCCTCCAACTACCACAGACCAGACAATGTCTCAAGAGCAGAAGGAACTTGAACAGAAAGCAATAAAGTCCACAAGCAACTTTCCCACTTGATTCAGCCACTGGGACTTAAAATCCATTCTGCCAGAGACATTACTTCAACGCTGGTTAAGGTCTAAATCTCTTAGCATTGTATCGGTATGGCTGAGTTAGAGCTATATTTGCTAATATATATACCCACGCTCACTAAACCTGAAGCCATTCTTTGTCAACTTGAGAAAATAGTAAAAGAAAAAAAACTGCATCTATTTCCCCTTCTTCCTCCCCCCTCTCCCCTTCCCACCATACACACACTTTGAATCATATGCACTGGTGGGATGATGAGAAAAAAGTATCCCATCACCTGGAACAAAGCAATGACCTGTAATATCTTCCATAAGAGTAATGATGTGGGGTATCTCTCTCAAAGCCCTCCCTGCTGTGCTACAATTTCTGCCATAATGATAATGGAGAAAGTGGGTGGTATGCATGAAACCAAATACCTCCCTCTCCAGGTAGTCCCCAGCCCTATTCCCAGATTGGTCCTCCAAAAATTCATCCAGGAGCTACATTACGACAGTCAGGCCTGAAGGCTGTTCTGTGGACTCTCCCCTCAGGTCGATCATGATCTCCTCCAGCATCACTCCTGGAACAGTTTCTTCACTTCCTTGCAGGTCTAAACATCTGACATTTTGTGTTCAAAATGATGTCACAGAGAACAACATGAGTCTGCGGGAGCTGGATTTTCAGGGGCGTTTCCAATTTCATGACCGTTGCCAAGTTCCTATCAAAAAGGTACCAGATCTTGTCTGTTCCTCTGATTAGCTAGCAGCATGCCAGTTGATAGGCCTTTCACCACTTGGTACAGATGAGCAGAAACTGGAACAGGCCATGTGGAAATGAAGGGTTAAATGGTAAGCAAGTGTATATAGATTGAGAGACTATAGATTTCCAGTCCATAGGGACCATGAAAGCTGTGAGCAGGTAAAAGGAACATATATGCACAGGAAAATTTAGGAGGAGCATTGGAAAATTATATAAGCACTTTTATTGTCTGCATCCTGCAAAATGAGCAGATGAAGAAGCAACTCACAGCTGAACACAGACTTTACGCCATGATCTCAAAACAACATGGGTTCAACTCACTCTTTATTATGCATTTAAGGATCTGGGAGGGGCTAATCAAACTCCTGCAAAAATGCAGGATTCACTACAAACAGAATACATCTAAATCTTGTAAAGATAAAATGGTTTAATCCAGCCTAAATTGCAGCTGCCCTTAATGGATTAAAAAAGAGTATTTCAACTGTCACATTATAAGTCAATAATAGCAATATGTATAAAATGCACAGTATTATTCGTATGCCATGAAATTATGTTAAAATAACATTAAAATGGAAAACCCCCCAAAATAACTGTCAAAAAGAAATTTTCAAGTGAAAATGTTCTGAAATCAATATTTTAGAATTTCTGATTCATAGAAAATTTGGGAAATATTTTCATTTCAAATTGGGGGAAAAAACCCCACAAACATCTTAAAACATGTATAAAACAGACATTCCATGTTTGACGTAGCTCTAACTGCAAATGCTAAATGTTCATGAAAAAAAGTAATCCCTTGGGATATCTCAAAATTCTCTGAAGACGTATTTAGTGCTCCTTAGGATGTAAACTCTTCTTTATATCATCCCCCATGCTTGACTACTTTTCCACATTTTGAAGGTGCCACAACCTTGGCTGATGAACAGCAGAGTTACCCCGTTTCCCCAGCAGCTTGTTTACAGGAAATGTAAACAGTAAGAATGACGGGGAGGAAACTAGGAATGGAGCTGTTGTCAGCA